ATGGAAGTTCTAGAAAGGGAGATATCCATGGTGAAATATTCCAATCAAATGATGTTAGACAGGACGCGGAACCTAATCTACCATAATTTGAGGGAGCCATATATTCGTGAAAGTGGGGCGAGAAAGGAAGNGGAGGAGGGAAATATCAACAACCAACGGGCAAAACAGTCCGCAGAGCTAAAAGAGAGTCCAGAAAAGCGACGGGAGTCGGTGAATAGACCAAAGACGGTAGTTGAGCTAACGGGGAACAAAAACAAGAAGAACAACAGGAATCCCAGAGGTGCTAAAGACGAAATAGCAAAACAACAACAGCAAACTGTCGGAAAAGATAAGGGATTAGAAGACATAAAAGATAAGGTGTCATCTTTGGAAAGAGAATTCCACAACAAAGCCAAACCTTGTCCGACCTCCAGCGGGCAAGTGAATTGACCTTGGGAAGATACAGGAATGTTTTTGTCAAAGGAGTTCCTGAATCTTTCATGAAGGAGGAGCGCATGAGGGACCGAGCCATGAGATATCATGTGGTGAACCTACCAAGGTGTGCCAACTTGCCAGGCCATGTGGCTATCAAAAGGACATTGCGTCCAGGAAAATGGCGGGCTAGCTTCAGCAGAGAAAGGGAACCCAGACCTGTCTCAGTTGAGTTCACCAACCCGAGGCACAGGGACTGGTTTCTTTCTGATGCTGACAACACTAGGACTGTCACAAAAGGAGGTCTAATGGTACAACCTGACGACAGCGGCCAATGCAGGGAAAAATCAGCAGCAGACCCACAAGCATCACTGGGCTTTAATACCGGGATACTAAAGCATCCACTGTATCTCATGCTGAATGTTTTGAAAATCCTTCCGAACCCATAAGGATTTATGGTGAAATAACTTTATCTGTGTGTTGCTCTTATATTGAACTTTCTCGATCACGAACACCACACATCATTATTTATCTGTTAATTTGGATGCCTGGCACATTTGAATTTTGCGTGGTTTGAGAACGGTAGCGACTGTTTGCCTCTCTCTGGACAATCTTGGCGTGGTTTGAGAACGTGAGCGACTGTTTGCCTCTCTCTGGACATCTTATTTGGCTCGCTCTGCTTGGTGTTCTCGGCCGCATATTTGATGTTTGCTTTATTGTACATTTGTAATGATTTCGTTAATTCAGCTCGGCCGCATATTTGAGGTTTGCTTTATTGTCCACATTGTAATAATTTCGTTAATTCAGTACCTGGCCGCATATTTGAGGTTTGCTTTATTGTACATATTGTAATAATTTCGTTAGTTCAGTACCGTTTCTGTAATAGATTTGTATTCAGTACCGTAGAACATTGCGGATCAATTGTTTTTATTTCGGGATTCGTATCGGTTCGGCTACGCGTCACTCAAATGCTTATTGGTTGACGTACAGTACTCAAATTGGAATCATACGAGAAAAATATTTTCGAAGATGCCCAGACGATGAACCAAGGAAACTGGAGCCCAACAGGAAGTAACCCGGCAAGTCACTGGAGGGGCTGTGGATAAGGATATTTATATTTTTAGATTGCGGGTTTCTGAGTTAGAGCATAATTTGAGATTGGCTAGACAGCAGATAGAACAGGCCAAACGTGAAAAAACCGATTTCAACGGCACAAAATCACCTCGAGCTGAGACTGCACACAGCGGCTTCTCTCCGAATAAAGAATTCGTCCCAAAGCAAAACACGTATGCCCATGTAAACGTCGATTTACCAAGAGTTAAACCGACACCTTTCGAGGGTTATCCCGAACAATATTGCCCGTTCATTCTCCAATACGAAAATTTCATTGAACGCAAAACCGACGATGCAGAGCTACATTACTGTCGGGGGAATGCCGAAGAGGCTATACAAGGGTGTGCAATGCTGGACCCGGAAGCGGGCTACCCGAGAGCCAGAAATATTCTGAAGGAGATGTTTGACCAACCATTCCGAGTGGTACGAAACATGATTGACGGGGTGCTAGCAGAAACGAGGCGCACAAGAGGCGATACCAGTTCTCTAGCAAACCTGGTCATCGAGATGCAGAACTGCAGCATCGAGAAATTTCAATATAAGAGCAACACACAGATAAAGTTATTTCACCATAAATCCTTATGGGTTCGGAAGGATTTTCAAAACATTCAGGATGAAATACAGTATCACCGATGCCACGGGCGCCCACTCAACCACAATCTCTGAAAAGGCAGAAGTTTCGAGAGAGTTTTTTAAGCAGGTGCATCGGGCGGATTCCGGGAGAGAGCCTGAGACTGTATCTCCCTCACTGACGGCCGAAATATCGGAATTCGCCATAACCTACTCATAGTTGAAACAGGAGCTTCAGGAGCTAAAGTCGTCCAAGATGGCTGGACCGGATGGAGTCCATCCAGCCATCCTAAAGCCCTTGGATAATGCGCTGGCCAAACCCCTAGCCACACTGTTCAATCAGTCACTGTGCGCAGGGGAATTACCCACAGACTGGAAGGTAGCTGAGGTTGTTCCTATACACAAGGGTGGAGTAGGGAAAACGCCAAAAACTACCGGCCAGTGAGTCTACTATCAGTGGTACTCAAGGTCATGGAGAAGATCGTTAGGAAGAACATAGTGGCTCAGTTGTAACTGAACGGGATGATCTCGGCAGGGCAGCATTGTTTTCGTAAACGGAGATTATGTCTAACAAACCTGCTGTCGTTTTTGGATGAAGTAACGGAAAGAAAGGATCGTGGGGAGCGGGTCGAAGTTTGCCATCTGGACTTTCAGAAAGCCTTTGACTCGGTGAATCATCGATTTCTTAACCTCAAGATGGAATCCCTCAAAATTGCCCCCGGAGTACTCCGCTGGATAAGGGCATACGTAGCAAATAGGCAGTTCCATGTAAAGGTCGGAGATGGAAAATTTGGACTGGCAGCTGTTACCATTGGTGTTCCTCAGGGCTCAGTCCTGGGGCCACTACTGTTCCTAATCTAAATCAAGGACCTGACGCAGAGACTGCATTGCCCCAGTTACTTGTTTGCCGATGATCTCAAGGTAGTAGGATCACCTGAAACAGGAGAAGTCCAGAGGGACCTGAACCTACTTCAAAACTGGGAGGATGTTTGGGAGCTACCACTGAACGTGAGTAAGTGCAGATAGCTATCACTTTACCAAGTCACCAGTGAAACAAGCTTCTTGGGAGCATCCGGTTCGCAAGCCATCGACAGAGCTACCGTGGCTCAGGACCTCGGAGTCCAAGTAAACCAGAACTTCAAAACCTCCGGTCAATGCATTGGTGCTGCAACGAGGGCAAATCGGGCACTGTTTCAACTATTACGGACAGTAG